TATAGGTGGGAGGCCATCGCTCTTATAGGTGGGAGGCCATCGCTTTTATAGGTGGGAGGCCATCAGGCCATCGCTTTTATAGGTGGGAGGCCATCGCTTTTATAGGTGGGAGGCCATCGCTTTTATAGGTGGGAGGCCATCGCTTTTATAGGTGGGAGGCCATCGCTCTTATAGGTGGGAGGCCATCGCACTTATAGGTTGGAGGCCATCGCTTTTATAGGTGGGAGGCCATCGCTCTTATAGGTGGGAGGCCATCGCTCTTATAGGTGGGAGGCCATCGCTCTTATAGGTTGGAGGCCATCGCTTTTATAGGTGGGAGGCCATCGCTTTTAGAAAGAGGAACGGAAACAACAAACTATTACTTTATGTTTTTTGATTCGTTTGCAATCCCGTTCTTCAGCTTGACAGGACACACTCCTGGCCAGCGCCGATTCGTCCCTGCCCCGAAGATTGAAGATGCAACCAAACTGGATTTTGTGTTCTTCTTTGCTTTTCCATGCTTTTCTTTAAACTTCCAAAAACTGGTTCCTAGTAGCTTCTTTGTTACTACTAGTAAGGCACCTGTTACTACTAGTAAGGCACTTGTTCCTAGTCGAGGTTGGGGCGGATTGTGCTTTGGAGACGTATGGACTTCTCCCACATTCCAGACTGAGCGGAGACGAATCGCCAAAACGGGCGCCGTCGGTGAGTCTCTCCACGTTGGGAAACCTGTCTGTCGAATGTCACGAAACGTGACAGTCAGAGCGTATTTGGATCAAGACGAGAAGCACAAAGAGATTCAGAAGTAAAACGTTTTCATGAATTGTTTTCAAAGAATCATGTCCCAAAACAATTGTTCTGTTTGTTCTTCTATGTTTTCATGAAGTCGCACAAACTCGGGTGCTGGGTGCGAGACGATGGCAGAATTCCAGGACGTCGAAACGACAGAATTCCGTCACTTGTCACGCTAGTAGTAACAAGTGCCACGCTAGTAGTAACAGGTGCCTTACTAGTAGTAACAA